CCATAAAATTTAAAGCTTAAATATAAAATTAATTGTGAAAACTGTTTGTGTAGTATTACTTCTAGATGCCAAATCAGGACAAAAAACAGCAAAAAATCCAACAAACTGACAGTTACAAGTAAATAAACCAGAAACGTCACAAATTGTTCTTAAAATCTGAAAACTTCCCCAAGCATCTTTGTTGTATAACCATACCTACCTCTTTTCGATATACTCAGTCTAACTCAACAAGCGGTAGCAGGTTTGTCTTTAGTTTCATGCGTGGAAGACAATGATTCTTAATAAAAGTGTGTGTTTTATTTCGCCAGGTATTAATGACCCACGGGCAAAAAACCAAGGACTCAACTATACATGTGGTATAGTAGAATCAGAGTGTACTCTCTCATACCTTCGTAATATGAAATGCCTAAGGTATAAAGCGAAGCCATCTAATATACACAGCCAATTGCCCTTTGATAAAAAGTTACTGTTTAGTCTAGCTCGTAGAAAAACCTTGCGCGAACCTCTTCCTCACCTTGACTTCCTGTAATCTCAACTAGTTGGTCTGTGTCGCCTTAAATGACAAGAACCACATGTTCAAGTCGAATAAGGAATCATGTTGCTCTTTACGTATTAACATTTACATCCATTGCCATCGACCTAGGGTGGCATTATAATATATATTTAACTCTAGAACCACAAGGTGGAATTTGCGGAACGTTAGCAACAAGCTGGCATCATAGTAAGACCGATAAACTCGCTCTTTATATTTCAATCCCTGCTATTTATAACTTTAGTTGTTACGGTAAAAAGTGTGTTTAATAGGTTTTAATTAACATTAGATACTGAAATTAAGATTTATTAACACCAAAGTAAACAGTAAAACCGTAAACAGTAGATCAGAAGTTCAAAACGGTTCTTGTTCATGGTTGTTCTAAAGAGAACAGGTCCAAAAATTGGTGACCATAAATCACTCAGTGTGACATGGGGATTTTTTTAAAACACCGCTTAAATATAACAGTCTAAACAACGCTCGTATTTCGACACTATCAGTTACTCCAAGATACCATTGCTCGATCTGATATCTAATTTTCTTTCTTTCGATTACCTCATCCACCAGTTCTTTGCTAAAAAATAAACCCCAATTTGTTTTTTTTTATCTACTATATCTTTTGCTGGTCCTTTCGTCCTGGCAAGTGAAGAACCAAGTTTTTTCGAAACCCTGATATTTTTGCTATGGAAACTATTTAGACATTACCTACGCCCATTTTTAGCATATATAACCTTTTGTTTTGGACTTATTTGTACTTTCTGCTGTAATTTCCGGAGGGATATCAGGATTCTCTGGAATTAAAATATCAAATTCATTATCCTCTATATCTATGTTGTCTTCAGTTTTCCTCTCATCGCTTTCTACAAACTCATCTGAGTCGCTAAAACCTTCGTTCGCCAATTGTTCTAACGCTAATTGCTTCAAAGGCTGTCTTCTCTTATAGCGATTGCTGCAACCGGGTTAGCTACATCTAATTTAGGCCTCTTTGACTCCATCCTTAAAGTAAACACTCTGAAACAATTGTAAGAAATAAATAAATAAATAATTTCAACAAAACCCTTATATTTACCGTCATAAAATTCCATACGTAAATAACAAGATGGCATCGTATGCGACCGCTATCGTAAATCTCAAAACTGACAGAAAGTGGTAAGCAAACAATTTAATTGAACCCAGCCTATGAGAAATGTTCACCCAGGTAGTACGATCGGGTGTAACAATTCATTGGAGCAAGGTGTGTTAACTCGAGTAAAAAACAGGAGTCACCCCACCGTGCTCCAATGTTCTAGACCATCCCTTTCCCCTCTATAGCACTCTGATGCGCTATAGAGGCACAACAATCAGCCAAATGCTCTTCATGTGGAGGTCCTGGGTAATAGAACCCCAACATGGTTTCCTAACCGATTGCAAAAAACTCAGGACAGCGCATCTCAGCTATATTCCTGTTATCTTAATATGACTTATCCGCAAACTAAAATTCCCGGCTCAGTTCGGCGACTTGGTGCTCAAGGGGTTGGGCCCTACGTGCCCGGGTTTTGGGGTTTTTGTTAATTTTTTTGGTGGCCGGAGCCGGTTTTTGTTAGTAATTTTTAAATTTTTTTGGTTGCCGAAGCTGGTTTTTTGTGTTTTTTGTGATTTTTTTGTAGGTAACCTGTGGACAAAAAATCATATTTAGTATATTATAGTCTATATTATAATAAAGAAAATATATAAAATATTATACGATACCACAATACAGACTGTATCCTTGTATGAGCAGCTGGGCCCACTGTGTACGAGGCGATATGCGGTATCCTGTGTACAGAAAGTGGTCCACTAACCTACTCGACGATCAACTGGTAATAACTAAAAATGCGAAAGGTAGATAGATGCCAGACTACATTATAATGTGCTCCCCAACTTTCGCGTGATTGGTTGGAGGGTGGGTCCCAATTTAAAAATTGGCGGGTTTCATGTTTATTAAAATGACAATAAAATTGAGGTATTGTGGCACAGTATATCGCTAAACAATTTATTAGCAATATATTGTGGTATTGGTACAAAGCGGATGATATTCACATTTTAGGATTAAGCTGACTAGTACAGTTTTATTAGAAATTAAAATTTATTTTTCTTTTGACATTATGTAGGTAAAATTAAATTCAGACATTGTGTTTATTTAATTTTGATATGCTAGTGATGCTTTTTTCTATTAGATATATAGATATTGTTTTAATTTTTTTGTTTAGGTAATTTTTTATTAAGATTTAGAGGTTCCTCTTATTATTTTGATTTCTAGAACATTCGTTACCATTATTATTCTCATTAGTTTTCTCTATGTGGAATCGGCTTCTCTAAGTATTTTCCTCTAAACTTTTCGGTTCTCTTCCAGGGACTAAGTACCTCTCCGCTTTTTGTATGAGATTATGGTTTTTCAGAAACATGTAATTTCTGTTCATCCCCTTTTTTACTGCCCTACATTCAGTACCATACATCATAGCTGGTCTAAAGGCAGTCCTATACAATTTAGGAGAGCTTTAGAGGGGTTTTCCTTCGCCATTGTACCAATAACGGCCCCCCCCCCTCCTTTGATTTCCCAGATTTTTAATAAAGAATAAAGACATTTTAGATATAGCTATTTAGTGTTTTATTTGGTTTGCAATCGTTATTTCCAGTAAACCTCTGCTTCATTATATTGACAATGACGATTTTTCATAGCACTCAATTCACAATATATCTTTTTATTATCCTACATTTGTGGTAAAATCTAACAGAATTCAGTGTAAGGTTCTAAAAAATGAAAATGGATAAATGTCAATTTGGATTTAGGCAAGGCAGGTCTACAACAAGTAATTTTTATTAAAAGAGCTAATTTAACAATTTAGAGTGAATTTACATTGTATTATTAAACTTGAGAAAGCACATGATGAAGATATCAGAAACCTACTGTGGCAGAGATTAAGTAGGAAAGGAGTGCCGGCTGAATATGTGAGTGGAGTATGAGCAAGTAACAACTATAATAGTGTTAAAACAACTATTATAGTGTTAGAACGATTACAGGTGAAACTGGCAAATTTTGTGTGAAAATGGGTGAAAATCAGGGTTTCGCCCATATTTATTCTCATTTGTGCCGGATTAGATAACAACTGAACCTCCTGGGTATTAGTAGAAAAGAGTAGCGGAGACAGAGGTCCTTGAAGAAAAATGATTAAAATTAAGTTGGATACAAACAAAATATTTAGAATATTCTTTTAAAGATGAAATTTCAAGACCAGATAGAGTGGATAGACAAGAACTCATAAAAGATATTGAGTGATGTATGATAAAAAAGGTACCAAGAAAACTAAAAGGTAAATTGTATAGGACTGCCTTTAGACCAGCTATGATGTTTGGTACTGAATGTAGGGTAGTAAAAAAGGGGATGAACAGAAATTACATGTTTCTGAAAAACCATAATCTAATACAAAAAGCTAGAGGTACTTAGAGGTACTTTAGTCCCTGGAAGAGAACAGAAAAGTTTAGAGGAAAATATTTAGAGAAGCCGATTCCACATAGAGAAAGCTAATGAGAATAATAATGGTAGTGAATGTTCTAGAAATAAAAATAATAAGAGGAATCTCTATCTTAATAATCTTAATAAAAGAATCTTAATAAAAAATTACCTAAACAAAAAAATTAAAACAATATCTATATATCTAATAAAAAAAAGCATCACTAGCATATCAAAATTAAATAAACACAATGTCTGAATTTAATTTTACCTACATAATGTCAAAAGAAAAATAAATTTTAATTTCTAATAAAACTGTACTAGTCAGCTTAATTCTAAAAGGTGAATATCATCCGCTTTGTACAAATACCACAATATATTGCTAATAAATTGTTTAGCGATATATACCTCAATTTTATTGTCATTTTAATAAACATGAAACCCGCCAATTTTTAAATTGGGACCCACCCACCAACCAATCACGCGAAAGTTAGGGAGCGCATTATAATGTAGTCTGATAGATGCTTAGTTGCGTGGTTGCGTCCGGGTAATTAAATCAGTTTAAGAGCGGATAGTAGGATTCGCCGGCCGCGGGCGACGCCACCTTGTGGTTCTAGGGTTAAAAATGTAAACCATTATATGAGTCTACACTGTAGTAGTGTTAGCTACAAGTACGAAAAGAAGGCACTGAGGATGATCTGAACTAAATCAAAAACGTTATGTATCTATCATTTTGGACGACACTTTTAACAAGTTTTAATTAAATGTTTTTATACCAATATACAAATGTTTATTTTTTTTACTTCTGTATAAGCTTTTAAATTATGGTATACAGCCAACTACTGGGATTTTCCCATTATTTTTTTTATGTACTAGAAAAATATATCACCAAACACTTCAATTTTCAATATATTTTCATTAAAATATTCCTGCTTTGTCTCTGAAAATCGACTTGTTATATCCTTGTTATGTTCTTAATACTTGTCTTTTTTTGTTTAGCTATCAAAAATCTCTTCGAATGTCCACAACACTGTAACCAAGAAAACGAAAATAATATATTTATCAACTTTCTGCCGAACTCTATAAATACTGTTGTTATTGTTGTGGATAACAACAGGTCTGTTTCAGACAAATCATGTGAATGTGGCTGTTGTACAAAACCAGAACCTCAAATCAATATATATGCTAATGAAACAACGGATTCGGCAATCACCGTGCTCCACTGCACAATAGTAGAAACTTTGGAACTATATTTAAATACCACAATACCTGAAGAATGTTTACCAACTACTTCAACAACGCCTCCTATCTGTACGACTTCAAGTACCACCACCAGTAAAACAACTGTACCTTCTACTACAAGTACCCTAACAAGTGAAAGTAGTGCAACAAATACAAGTGAAGTAACTGTTACAGAAACACAAACAATGAGTTTTAGCTCTATCTACAGTATGGAAACTGAAATATCTACATTTACGTACCATACAACCACACCAATCAGCTCTGAAAAACCAACTGAATTTAGTTCAACGGAAAGTGAAATTTCAACAGAACCTAGTCCAACCACCATAGAAACATATCCAACTATATCAACAAAAACCACTCAACCATCCTCCACCGAAGAAACGATATCCACAGAACCAATAACTAATATGCCAGTTACAAAAACAACCCAGACTTATCCCACCCAAAGCACTATAACTTCCAGTACTGAGAAATCTACAGAACACACAGGTTCAACGCAGTATTCGACCACGTTCAGTACAAGTGAAATCACAACTGAAAAAACTCCAACGACAATTACAACAAGTACCAATCCTTTTGATTATCGAACCAGTAAAGGGCCAAGTACTAATGAAACCGCATTACCCACAGGTTCAACGCAGTATTCGACCACATCAAGCACATATACAGTCACAACTGAAGAAACTCCAACAACAATTACACGTACCCAGACTCATTTTACTGGAAGCACTACAACTTCCAGTACTGAGGAAACAACATCAACGTCATCAAGTACGAGTAAAGTCACTACTGAAGAAACTCCAACGACAGAACACACAGCTACAACTGAGTCTCCAACTACATCATTTACAAGTGAAGTAACAACTGGAGAAACTCCAACAACAGTTACAACAAGTACCCAGACTCATTCTACTGGAAAGACTACAACTTCCAGCACTGAAGGAACTACAGAACAAACAGCAACATCGCAATCTCCAACATCATTTCCAAGTGAAGTCACAACTGGAGAAACTTTAACGACATCATTTACAAGTGAAGTAACAACCGGAAAAACTCCAACCACAGTTACAAAAAGTACACAGACCCATCCTACTGGAATTACTACATCTTCCAGTACCGAGGAAACTACAGAACACACAGTTACAACGGAGTCTCCAACGATATCGTTTTCAAGTGAAATTACAACTGGAGAAACTCCAACGACAGTTACAAACAGTACACCGACTCATCCCACTGGAAGTACTACATCTTTCAGTACTGAGGAAACTACAGAATACACAACTAAAACTGAGTCTCCAACGACATCATTTTCAAGTGAAGTAACAACTGGAGAAACTCCAACGACAGTTAAAACAAGCACCCAGACTCATTCTACTAGAAGTACTACAACTTCTAGCACTGAGGGAACTACAAAACACACAGCTACAACGCAATCTCCAACATCATTTACAAGTGAAGTAACAACCGTTAAAACTCCAACCACAGTTACAAAAAGTACACAGACTCATCCCACTGGAAGCACTACATCTTCCAGTACTGAGGAAACTACAGAACACACAACTACAACTGAGTCTCCAACGACATCATTTACAAGTGAAGTAACAACTGGAGAAACTCCAACGACAGTTACAACAAGCACCCAGACTCATTCTACTAGAAGTACTACAACTTCCAGCACTGAGGGAACTACAGAACACACAGCTACAACGCAATCTCCAACATCATTTACAAGTGAAGTCACAACTGGAGAAACTCCAACGACATCAGTTACAAGTGAAGTAACAACCGGAAAAACTCCAACCACAGTTACAAAAAGTACACAGACCCATCCTACTGGAATTACTACATCTTCCAGTACCGAGGAAACTACAGAACACACAGTTACAACGGAGTCTCCAACGATATCGTTTTCAAGTGAAATTACAACTGGAGAAACTCCAACGACAGTTACAAAAAGTACACAGACTCATTCTACTGGAAGTACTACATCTTCCAGTACTGAGGAAACTACAAAACACACAGTTACAACTGAGTCTCCAACGACATCATTTACTAGTGAAGTAACAACTGGAGGAACTTCAACGACAGTTACAAGAAGTACACAGACTCATCCTACTGGAAGAACTACAACATCTAGTTCTGAAGAAACCACATTACCCACTGGTTCAACGCAGTCTTCAACGACATCAGGTACGAGTAAAGTTACAACTGAAGAAACTCCAACGACAGCTACCAAAAGTACCCAAACTCATTCTACTGGAAGCACTACAACTTTCAGTACTGAGAAAACTACAGAACACACATCTACATCGCAATCTCCAACATCATTTACAAGTGAAGTCACAACTGGAGAAACTCCAACGACATCATTTACAAGTGAAGTAACAACCGAAAAAACTCCAACCACAGTTACAAAAAGTACACAGACTCATCCTACTGGAAGTACTACATCTTCCAGTACTGAGGAAACTACAAAACACACAGTTACAACTGAGTCTCCAACGACATCATTTACTAGTGAAGTAACAACTGGAGGAACTTCAACGACAGTTACAAAAAGTACACAGACTCATCCTACTGGAAGAACTACAACTTCTAGTTCTGAAGAAACCACATTACCCACTGGTTCAACGCAGTCTTCAACGACATCAGGTACGAGTAAAGTTACAACTGAAGAAACTCCAACGACAGCTACCAAAAGTACCCAAACTCATTCTACTGGAAGCACTACAACTTTCAGTACTGAGAAAACTACAGAACACACATCTACATCGCAATCTCCAACATCATTTACAAGTGAAGTCACAACTGGAGAAACTCCAACGACATCATTTACAAGTGAAGTAACAACCGAAAAAACTCCAACCACAGTTACAAAAAGTACACAGACTCATTCTACTGGAAGTACTACATCTTCCAGTACTGAGGAAACTACAAAACACACAGTTACAACTGAGTCTCCAACGACATCATTTACTAGTGAAGTAACAACTGGAGGAACTTCAACGACAGTTACAAAAAGTACACAGACTCATCCTACTGGAAGAACTACAACTTCTAGTTCTGAAGAAACCACATTACCCACTGGTTCAACGCAGTCTTCAACGACATCAGGTACGAGTAAAGTTACAACTGAAGAAACTCCAACGACAGCTACCAAAAGTACCCAAACTCATTCTACTGGAAGCACTACAACTTTCAGTACTGAGAAAACTACAGAACACACATCTACATCGCAATCTCCAACATCATTTACAAGTGAAGTCACAACTGGAGAAACTCCAACGACATCATTTACAAGTGAAGTAACAACCGAAAAAACTCCAACCACAGTTACAAAAAGTACACAGACCCATCCTACTGGAATTACTACATCTTCAAGTACCGAGGAAACTACAGAACACACAGTTACAACGGAGTCTCCAACAATATCGTTTTCAAGTGAAATTACAACTGGAGAAACTCCAACGACAGTTACAGAAAGTACACAGAGTCATCCTACTGGAAGTACCACAACTTCCAGTACTGAGAAAACTACAGAACACACAGCTTCAACTGAGTCTCCAACGACATCATTTACAAGTGAAGTAACAACTGGAGAAACTCCAACGACAGTTACAATAAGCACCCAGACTCATTCTACTGCAAAGTCTACAACTTCCAGCACTGAGGGAACTACAGAACAAACAGCAACAACGCAATCACCAACACCATTTACAAGTGAAGTCACAACTGGAGAAACTATAACGACAGTTACAAAAAGTACACAGAGTCATCCTACTGGAAGTACCACAACTTCCAGTACTGAGAAAACTACAGAACACACACCTACAACTGAGTCTCCAACGACATCATTTACAAGTGAAGTCACAACTAGAGAAACTCCAACGACATCATTTACAAGTGAAGTAACAACCGGAAAAACTCCAACCACAGTTACAAAAAGTACACAGACTCATCCCACTGGAAGTACTACATCTTCCAGTACTGAGGAAACTACAGAACACACAACTACAACTGAGTCTCCAATGACATCATTTACAAGTGAAGTAACAACTGGAGAAACTCCAACGACAGTTACAACAAGCACCCAGACTCATTCTACTAGAAGTACTACAACTTCTAGCACTGAGAGAACTACAGAACACACAGCTACAACGCAATCTCCAACATCATTTACAAGTGAAGTAACAACCGGAAAAACTCCAACCACAGTTACAAAAAGTACACAGACTCATCCTACTGGAAGTACTACATCTTCCAGTACTGAGGAAACTACAAAACACACAGTTACAACTGAGTCTCCAACGACATCATTTACTAGTGAAGTAACAACTGGAGGAACTTCAACGACAGTTACAAAAAGTACACAGACTCATCCTACTGGAAGAACTACAACTTCTAGTTCTGAAGAAACCACATTACCCACTGACTCAACGCAGTCTTCAACGACATCAGGTACGAGTAAAGTTACAACTGAAGAAACTCCAACGACAGCTACCAAAAGTACCCAAACTCATTCTACTGGAAGCACTACAACTTTCAGTACTGAGAAAACTACAGAACACACATCTACATCGCAGTCACCAACATCATTTACAAGTAAAGTCACAACTGGAGAAACTCCAACGACAGTTACAACAAGCACCCAGACTCATTCTACTAGAAGTACTACCGCTTCTAGCACTGAGGGAACTACGGAACAAACAGCCACAACGCAATCTCCAACATCATTTACAAGTGAAGTAACAACCGGAAAAACTCCAACCACAGTTACAAAAAGTACACAGACTCATCCTACTGGAAGTACTACATCTTCCAGTACTGAGGAAACTACAGAACACACAGTTACAACGGAGTCTCCAACGATATCGTTTTCAAGTGAAATGACAACTGCAGAAACTCCAACGACAGTTACAATAAGCACCCAGACTCATTCTACCAGAAGTACTACAACTTCCAGCACTGAGGGAACTACAGAACAGACAGCTACAACGCAATCTCCAACATCATTTACAAGTGAAGTCACAACTGGAGAAACTCCAACGACATCATTTACAAGTGAAGTAACAACTGTTAAAACTCCAACCACCGTTACAAAAAGTACACAGACTCATCCTACTGGAAGTACTACATCTTCCAGTACTGAGGAAACTACAAAACACACAGTTACAACTGAGTCTCCAACGACATCATTTACTAGTGAAGTAACAACTGGAGAAACTCCAACGACATCATTTACAAGTGAAGTAACAACCGGAAAAACTCCAACCACAGTTACAAAAAGTACACAGACCCATCCTACTGGAATTACTACATCTTCCAGTACTGAGGAAACTACAGAACACACAGTTACAACAGAGTCTCCAACGACATCATTTACTAGTGAAATTACAACTGGAGAAACTCCAACGACAGTTACAAAAAGTACACAGAGTCATCCTACTGGAAGTACTACAACTTCTAGCACTGAGGGAACTACAGAACACACATTTACAACGCAATCTCCAACATCATTTACAAGTGAAGTAACAACCGGAAAAACTCCAACCACAGTTACAAAAAGTACACAGACTCATCCTACTGGAAGTACTACATCTTCCAGTACTGAGGAAACTACAAAACACACAGTTACAACTGAGTCTCCAACGACATCATTGACTAGTGAAGTAACAACTGGAGGAACTTCAACGACAGTTACAAAAAGTACACAGACTCATCCTACTGGAAGAACTACAACATCTAGTTCTGAAGAAACCACATTACCCACTGGTTCAACGCAGTCTTCAACGACATCAGGTACGAGTAAAGCTACAACTGAAGAAACTCCAACGACAGCTACCAAAAGTACCCAAACTCATTCTACTGGAAGCACTACAACTTTCAGTACTGAGAAAACTACAGAACACACATCTACATCGCAATCTCCAACATCATTTACAAGTGAAGTCACAACTGGAGAAACTCCAACGACATCATTTACAAGTGAAGTATCAACCGAAAAAACTCCAACCACAGTTACAAAAAGTACACAGACTCATTCTACTGGAAGTACTACATCTTCCAGTACTGAGGAAACTACAAAACACACAGTTACAACTGAGTCTCCAACGACATCATTTACTAGTGAATTAACAACTGGAGGAACTTCAACGACAGTTACAAAAAGTACACAGACTCATCCTACTGGAAGAACTACAACTTCTAGTTCTGAAGAAACCACATTACCCACTGGTTCAACGCAGTCTTCAACGACATCAGGTACGAGTAAAGTTACAACTGAAGAAACTCCAACGACAGCTACCAAAAGTACCCAAACTCATTCTACTGGAAGCACTACAACTTTCAGTACTGAGAAAACTACAGAACACACATCTACATCGCAATCTCCAACATCATTTACAAGTGAAGTCACAACTGGAGAAACTCCAACGACATCATTTACAAGTGAAGTAACAACCGAAAAAACTCCAACCACAGTTACAAAAAGTACACAGACTCATTCTACTGGAAGTACTACATCTTCCAGTACTGAGGAAACTACAAAACACACAGTTACAACTGAGTCTCCAACGACATCATTTACTAGTGAAGTAACAACTGGAGGAACTTCAACGACAGTTACAAAAAGTACACAGACTCATCCTACTGGAAGAACTACAACTTCTAGTTCTGAAGAAACCACATTACCCACTGGTTCAACGCAGTCTTCAACGACATCAGGTACGAGTAAAGTTACAACTGAAGAAACTCCAACGACAGCTACCAAAAGTACCCAAACTCATTCTACTGGAAGCACTACAACTTTCAGTACTGAGAAAACTACAGAACACACATCTACATCGCAATCTCCAACATCATTTACAAGTGAAGTCACAACTGGAGAAACTCCAACGACATCATTTACAAGTGAAGTAACAACCGAAAAAACTCCAACCACAGTTACAAAAAGTACACAGACTCATTCTACTGGAAGTACTACATCTTCCAGTACTGAGGAAACTACAAAACACACAGTTACAACTGAGTCTCCAACGACATCATTTACTAGTGAATTAACAACTGGAGGAACTTCAACGACAGTTACAAAAAGTACACAGACTCATCCTACTGGAAGAACTACAACTTCTAGTTCTGAAGAAACCACATTACCCACTGGTTCAACGCAGTCTTCAACGACATCAGGTACGAGTAAAGTTACAACTGAAGAAACTCCAACGACAGCTACCAAAAGTACCCAAACTCATTCTACTGGAAGCACTACAACTTTCAGTACTGAGAAAACTACAGAACACACATCTACATCGCAATCTCCAACATCATTTACAAGTGAAGTCACAACTGGAGAAACTCCAACGACATCATTTACAAGTGAAGTAACAACCGAAAAAACTCCAACCACAGTTACAAAAAGTACACAGACCCATCCTACTGGAATTACTACATCTTCAAGTACCGAGGAAACTACAGAACACACAGTTACAACGGAGTCTCCAACAATATCGTTTTCAAGTGAAATTACAACTGGAGAAACTCCAACGACAGTTACAAAAAGTACACAGACTCATCCTACTGAAAGTACTACAACTACAACTACAACTTCCAGTACTGAGGAAACTACACAACACACAGCTACAACGCAATCTCCAACATCATTTACAAGTGAAATAACAACTGGAAAAACTCCAACGACAGTTACAACAAGCACCCAGACTCATTCTAGTGGAAGCACTACATCTTCCAGTACAGAACCAACAATGCTACCCACTGAAGTAACTACTCATAGGCTCGTTAATATTTCTACAGCAATAATTACTTGTACATCATTAAGCGTACAGGGTGTCTTGAGGAGTCTCCTGTTGGTTGATACTGAACATCCTGAAAACCAGATATCGTTTGATGATTGTATTAAGGGAACCCAAAATGGAAATCAAACTTATATTCTTCCAATAACTCAAGAATTCAATGTAGCAAATATTACTGACAAAGAAAAGGATTATGTTGAAGCATTTTTTGAAGAGAAGAATAATATATACAATTTGTTGTTTGCTGATACCGAAAGTTTACTTGAAAATAATATTTAAGTACTTAACATTAAAATTTAAGTTAACACGTTTGTATACAGCTTAGTTATATATCGAAATAAATTTATTAATATTCCTAATTAATTCTATTTTTTATTAAAATAAACTTCGCGTTACTGAGAAGTTTATTTCATTTTTGAAAGGATATCACGATATAAGGAAATAATAACTTTCAAAAGGTATTACATTAGTTGATTATATCAGTCTTTCCTTTTTTATATATATTTTTTCTTTATGCTTCTGTTTCAATATTGTCTCACTTATGCATTATAACAAGTCTCATTGGGTCTATCCCTTCTTCTGATTTTGTTGATTTTTTTCTCATTTTCACATGTACAGGTTTTTCAATGTTAAATCTGTTCACGAAATATTTTCATTGTCTTAGGTATGTTATTTTAGTAGCTTGTATCCTATTTATTTTGTATTTAGCAGTACCACATGGACTCACATGTATTTTGTATGTAGGGAAGAAAGGAGAAATCTTGGCCACTTGAGGCCATTCGGTAATAATATCCTAATTAAAATGATTTTAGAAATTTAAGGGAACTAGGTATACCCTTTAAACTTATAATAAAAAAAATAGTTAAAAAAGACACATTATTTAAAATAAAAATCTACATTATTAAAAATGAATCGCCTAAATGTTTGTACAGGCATCGCCTCAGAACGAGTGCACCAAATTAGATATTTTTTTGATTGTTTGTTATTATCACCAGAAGGTTTGTGTAAAAGATAATTTTTAAAAAATTGTACGGAAAACGGTTTTTTATAATTTTAAATCATAATATAACTAATAGATGGCGCCATACTATGACTAACAAAGGAAGCTATGATTAACAAAATAATTGTCAGTATTCATAGATTGGCATAACGACATAGCTATAAATATTTGGTATTGCGGCTCCAAATAATAACGAAGTTTCAACATATCAGATGGGAAGATATATGTAAGTGAGGCGGTTTGTAGAGTTTCTTAATTTTACACATATAAACGGCAAACCACTTAAATTAGTTTAGCTGTTCATCTAGTGAATGGACAACGACTTTATTTAAAAAAAAAACAACACAAAGAGTTGAACGATTACCAACAACAAAGTTGAAATGTTATATAAGTACCTGTTCTTAAATGGAGACTTGACAAATACAGATCATTAGATAGATTTAAAGTGCAGCTATAAGTCTGAACCTGTTTATTAAAATAAATTAGAACAAAATGGAATACAGTAGAATACAATAGAATAAAATAAAACAAAATAAAATAAATTCAGTTTAAAAAGAAAATAATATAAAATAAAACAATAAAATAGAAAAAAATAGAATAAAATAGATTAGAATAAAATAGAATAAGGTACAACAAAATAGAGTAAAATAATGCAAATATCTCCGTTAACATTTTTATCCTTATATTAGCAATCATCTGTATTTTCATTTTTGCCACACTCTTGTAGTCAATAGACGATTTTTAGTGTTTATATTATTTTTTCTGTGGATTCCTCTCTCTTTAAAACCTGTTTTTTAGTATTATCAACATTTTCTACTCTTTTCCTATTATTTTTTTCCAATGCATCCTTCAGTAACGCCGAAGTGAAAATTATCTAGTGGTGTTTGGTTGACTTCCTTTGCCGTTATTTCTATTGGATCAAATAGAAAGGATTTTTATGAACGAAATTTTTTATTCTTTCATAAACGGTGTATCTCTAAATGACACTTTACTTGTAGGTCCAAAGCTTCATAAAGACATTGCTAGTCTTTTACTTAGATTTCGATTTTATGTCTATGTCTTTGTCTGCGACATTAAGCAAATGTACAGGCAAATTAATGTAATTTCCGACTATTGGAATTATCAACGTATTTTATGGCGTTTCTCCCTTTCTGAACCTCTTCAGGAGTATCATTTACACTCTGTGACATATATAGTATATCTGCTTCACCATATTTGGCACTACGTACCTTGTATGAACTCGCAGCTTCTGAAGAACATACTTTTCCTCATGTAGCTAAAGCATTAAGAACTCAATTTTAAATGGACGATGGTTTACTGGGGGCTAATGATATAAACTCAACTTTGACTCTTCAATCTGAATTAATCGCAGTTATAAAAAGAAAAGGCTTTGAACTTGGAAAATGAGCTAGTAATCACCCTGATCTAATTACCCATATTTCTTCCTTTGATTGTCAGAACTCATCTTATAGTTTTGATAAGGACGAACCTTCATTCATCAAACTTTTTAGATTAAAATGGGATCCTAGATCAGATATATTTTCCTATTCCTATGTCCCTTTTGATCGTTCTTGTACCAAGAGACACATTTTGTCTGAAATTAGTAGGATTTTTGATCCTCTCGGATTTATTTCACCCTGTCTTCTGCTTGCAAAACGTCTGCTACAAAGATTGTGGGAGCTCAAGGTCCCTTGGGGTGAAATATTATTCGACAAGATTATCGAAATTTGGACAAAATTTAAAACTGAGTTACCAAATCTCGCTGATATTAAAATTGCTCGTTATTTGGGCTCGAAAGATATTTCTCACATCAAGTTACATGGTTTTTGTGACGCCTCTCAAGTAGGTTCTGCCAGTGTTGTTTACTTTCGAATTATATAAACCACTGGTAATATCAAAACCTTTTTGGTTAGCGCTAAGTGCAAGGTTGCTCCATTAAAGACTCAGGCTATAGCTAGTTTGGAGCTTTCTGGCTAACTTAATTAATTTTATTCAAAAAAGTTATGAGGGCTTAATAATATTTGACGCTGTATACGCATGGTCAGATTCCATGATAACTTTGGCTTGTTTGTCTTCATCACCAAGTCGATGGAAAACTTTTATAGCTAACAGGGTGAGTCACATATAAGAAATTGTCCCTAGTACTAGTTGGCATCATGTGGTACTTCACAGAACCCTGCCGATTATGCAAGTCGTGATCAAAGTCCGCTTCAGCTTCTAAATACTTCTATGTGGTGGTCAGGCCCACCTTTTCTTTTTCTGCCTAGAACCACTTGACCCTGTCGACCTTCAACTGAATCTTATTCTAGTTAATCAATGGAGGTCCAAAAAGAGAAAAAATAAGTTGTTCTTACAATTACAGTCACTAATGACAATTTTCTATTGAATTTACTCCACCGATGGTCTTCTTTTCCTCAAATTCAAAGAATTTTTGCTTATGTGTTAAGGTTTATAAAAAAGTCTAGGTCTAAACAGAATCTTACTCCACAAGAAATAAATTCTTCACTTACACCGATTATTCGATATGTTCAGCTGGATGTTTTTTCTGATATTTTCCTTAAGATTGATCAAAATCAGTTACTGCCAAAACCTTTTCGTAAATTAGCACCATTTATGGATCCAGATAATTTACTTATCGAGTTAGGGATCGCCTTAAAAGATCTTCTTTTAGTTATGATATTAGACATTATATCTTTTTACCAAAAACCACAGACTTACAGAATTGATACTAGAATCAGTTCACAGCTCACATTTTCATCCTGGTTTAAAAACCTTGCAATACTTGTTACTTCAACAATATTGAATCTTATCCCCTAAAGCAGCAATTTATAAATGCTTGTCAAGATGTGTTACATGTTTTCGTTCTAAACCCAAGTCCTTTACCCTCATTCCGCGTTTCTCAATTAAAAACATTCTCATCAGTTTGCATTAATTTCGCTGGTCCATTTTCGCTTTTGATGAGCAAACATAGAGGAGCGAAAAAGAGTTATGTCTGTTTATTCGTTTGTGCCGCTACTAAGGCTATTCATCTGGAGGCCACATCTGATCTTAGTTCAGAATCTTTCTTAGCAGCTTTTATGCGCTTCATTGCTCGAAGGGGCAGGTGCAATCATATTGTTAGTGATCAGGGCACTAATTTTAAGGGTGCTAATAACCAATTGATAGAACTTGCTTAAAATACAACACAAAAATTAGACATTTCATGGAATTTTAATGCTCCCGCTTCTCCTTATTTGAATGGATTGGCCGAGGCTGGCGTCAAGTCATTTAAATAATATTTTATCGAGTTATGGGAAATCAAGTCCTAATATTTGAAGAATTCTATACAGTTCTAACACAAGCCGAGGCTATCCTTAATTCTCTTACATTTTTTTACATTCTCTGACATTTTTTGGTTTTCGAGTCGTTAAATAATCCGATTCCTGAACCCAATTTAGATCATTTAAGTCTGAACAAATTAAGTCGTTGGCAGCTACTGCAACGTATCCTAAGCGATTTCTGGAAACGTTGGTCTTTAGAGTATATCAACACTCTTTAACAAAGACACAAGTGGACAAAACAGTCTCCTCCGGTTTCTAAAGAGGATCTGGTAATTATTAAGAATGATCAGCAACCTCCTTTGCAATGGGAACTTGGTCGTATTGTTAACGTCTTTTCGGGACAGGATGATATAATTCGCGTTGCCAAAGCCAAAACTTCTCGCGACACGATGAAAAGACCGGTGGTCAAGATTTGTCCTCTTCCAGGCAATTAGGGTAACTACCTTTTTCTTTAATTAGGTTTAAATTTTGTTTGTTTTATTTTTTTTTCTCTTACTATGAAAACATTCGTTTTGGTGGGGTGAATGTTCGGGAATCCTTATTTCTTTATTTTATATTGAATATTATTATAATATTTAATTTATTTCGGGTAGAATAAGTTTTAGATCTTTAATAATTATATTTCCTTGAAATGATGCAATATAACCTTATGTGCTTATTGGTAGCATTTCATTCAAAAGCGCGATATAATATGATTTTAATTCCACACACACAATCGCCCATATATCCAAATCTGCATGCTCCAATGAGTAGATTTTAACCGAGAAGGTACGACTTTGCTTCCAACCTTCAACGAAAAAGGTTAAGAATTCCGGACCTTACGTATCTGGTGGTACCGTCTCGCGTCCTACAAGAATTTTATGGAAGGAATCCATTGAAGTGATTGAGCAGTGATGAATTGAGTAATCGCATTTGGGTCTGCATCATTAACCAAATTCTAAACTACCACCACTGCTACTACCACTTCTACCGTCACCACTGCAAGAAAACATCAAACTCGTTGCAGATTTTGCAAAGTCGTTAACTTTTTCCGGAT